AGCACGCATGGGGAGGCGGCTGTGGGCGGGAGTCGCCTGCCAGCGCGCGTCGGCGAGGAGCTCGTGCGCCAGCACTACACCCCACCTGGAGGCAGCTCGAGGAGGGATGCTGCGAAGGCTCACTGCGCTGCAACAGCGAGGATGCCGCTTCATCTCACGACCCACGCTGCCCGGCAGTTTTGTTTTGAGAAGCAAGCACCTCCGCTGCGCGCGCTCTCGCCAGCAAGCGGACCGCCTACCCCATCCCGAACACCACCAAGCGGCAGCGGCGCGCCCGCTCCAGCTCGGGATAAGTTTGGCGTTGTTTGCGGCGTGTAGGCTGGGCAAGCACCATGCCGGGGCGGGCATCGGCGCTGGCGCGGGGCTGGCCGTCCCGGCCGAGGGGGCTGACGAGCGTGGCATCAACTGCGAGCTGCTCCCCATGCCACAGGGGCAGCCCGTTGCAGACAACCTCAATCCGCCGTGCGTCCTGCACCATCGAGGTTCATGTCGGCCAGCCGCACGTTTCTGGCCACACGTGCGCCAGCCCCGCGACACAGCCTGGCGAGGGCTCGCTGAAGAGGGATGGCGCGCGAGGCAAGGACAGCAGTGGCACACGCCGTCCGGTGGTCGCCCAGTACATCCAGCAACCTTCGGCAGGCGCAGGTCCGCGGCCCCAGCTGGAGCGGCAGATGCAACCGGCGAAGGAGGAGGACCCGGAAGTGCGCACTGGGGAGCGTGACATCAATGTGTGGGCAGAACCGTGAGGGCCCGCAAAGAGTGCGGCCCGGCCTGTGATAGCAGCAGCGCTCGTGAGGCAGGTGACAAGTTCGAAAAAACCGTCTCGAACGCGCGCTCGTCACAGGCGTGGGCAGCACGTCGCTGCCATCCACGGAGATGGTCACATGGGTCATCGCGTCTGGAGGCCTCGGCGGGAGGCTGCATCACCTCCCCTCGCCCAGGTACACAGCTGCGTGTTGGGCAGCCGCGGTTGACGGCAGGCTGTCAGCCAGCGGCCCCTGCAGCGCCTGCAGCATGCGTGCAGCAGCCCCTGGCGCCCTGTCTCGCAGGACAGGTAGCACGTCGCACCAGGACGCCCAGTGTGCTGCGTGGCGGTCAGTACGTGCGCAACGCAAGCCGAGGCCGCCAAAGCGGGCAGCAGGCTGCGCTGTCAGCAGCGCGCCCTCAGGCAGCGGGTGGTCCGCCTGGCCGAGGAGCCTGGCAAGGCACGCCGCAATAGCGGCGTCGTGCTCGGCGGCGTAAACGGCCGTTTCTGCAGGGGGCAGAACGCGGAGGAGGTAGTTGGCGCGCGGGGCAACGCAGTAGCGCAGCAGAAACCATGCCGCTTGAAGGCCCTCGACTGTGGGGATGGCCTGCAGCAGACGATCGTGGGCCTCCCGTTTCAGCGTGAGCTGGCGTTGGACAAACGCGTCAGACCCGAGCGGCGTGCCCAAGACATTGAGGCCTTGTTGGTCACGGGGCGTCAGCAGGTTCCGCGCCTGCTGCGTTCCAAATACGCGTCTTGGCACGGTCTAGCTGCACGTGCATCTGCAGCGTACAGTTCCCTGACCCGCTCGGGGGATGCGACGATGTAGACGTCGCCGAGGAAAGCAAAAACGGCCTCCCCGTCCCGCAGGCCGGCATGCACCGCGTGGAGTGCGGGATGGGCAACGAGCGAGTACAAGCCAGGCATCAAGGGGTCGCCCTGCTCCCCCCCCTCCCCTTGGGTAACGGTGTGGGAAGTGCCCGAGGCGTCGACCCACGTGCAGGAGCTAGGTGTGGCGTAGAACTGCCGGGCAGAAGGAAGAAGCGGCTGCAGCTCAGGCCTTGCGTGCAACGCCTCCAACATGGCCCCGCGTGAAACATGATCATAGGCCCCTGCCGCGTCAACAGACAGTATGGTGGCCCGTGGATCTATTTTGGTGGCGACCTTGAGCACAGAGAGCTCCCCCAAGTGCACTTTGCGGGTCGGCGAGCGGCGCAAACGCATCGCGTACCCAGAGTTGACAGCTGGCGGCCCGCAGCAGCTCCGAGGTTGGGGGCCGTTGGAATGCAGGAGCGCAGCAGCTGCTCCGGCCAGCGCCCTCCGCCAGCGGTGCGCGCTGCAGCCACCTCGGCCTGGGCGCGGCGCTGGTGGGTTGTGTTTTCGGTTTTCGTGCAGCAAGCTGTGACCGGCACGGCCTTGAGGTCGGCCTTGGGGTCGGCTTGGCCATGCGAGACAAGCCCAGGGCCCGTACCTCCCTCGCTAGCCGGCTGCCGCTGCGGAGCGTCTAGCCGTCTAGCACCCGGCCATAGTGTGGGCTAGGACCCTGCAGACGCCTTCCTCCGGCCCCATGCGCGCTCAAGGACGAGCATCCCAGGGCCCTGGCTGAAAGGATAAAAAAGTCGGAATCTGGCAAGTATTGCACATGGCCAATGCGGAGCCCCATGCAACGCGAGCAGAGCTATGGAGGTAAGTGATGCAAAGGGGCCAACACCTTGAATAGCTGGCGGGGCAATGGGAGAAGAAAGACAGCTGGAATGGATACGGATATATACAGATCCACAACGCAACATAACGGCGGTTCGAGGCCGAGAAACGGGATCTGGCAAGAACGATGCGTGGCAAACGCAGTGCATATTGCTGCCAAGGTGCGGGGTGCGATACAGTAACCCAAACCCAAAGTTTGCATGCAGTCATCCAAAGGGTGGGCATCTTGGGCACCCGGGACAAGTGAGGGTCTGGCAAGCACGACACGCTGCACTCGCAGTGCATATAGCCTGCCTTACTGACGGGGACAGTATAACCCAAACCTGCATGCAATAATGCAAGGGGACAGCAAGGGGACACAAATTTTTGGCACCCGGGTCCAGGCTGTGACTGGGGCATGACGGAGACTTAAACGTGCAAGGAATGAGGATGAACGACCGACAAGAATGCGCGGCAGAAGGAACGGAGCTGCAGGGGAAAAAGTGAGGAAAGAGGATAGACACTGTCGCACCTACGGGGGAGCAACGGGGGTGGGTACTGGGTGCTCGTCGGCGGATGGGGCGACGGACGACAACGCAGGGCGAATTCTCACACCCATCACCCTGGCGGACGTCCCGCCCGCGGTTTGCGCCTGTTCGTACGGTAATGTAATCATACGGTGCTGGCGACAGAACCTGCGCCCTCGAACGGGTCGTGTTCTCAACAGACCTTTGAAAGGTGGCGTAAGCAATGAATTCCTATGAGGATGAGTTGCTTCAGCCAAATCAGCTTTGGAGACCCTGGACCTTCCCCTTTCAGTACTTATTGTTGGCTTCGCCAGATGCAGGGCGCTCGCCGTGGCCTGCCTCGCCGCCCTGCCCAACCCAGATGGGGGCGTGGAATCTGCAGGGGTGACCTCCGCCGCTTGCTCTCCAAAGTTTGGCTGGAACCGATGCTTTTGCAGCTCTCACGCGCCGCCCCGCGATGCTCCCAGGAGCCGTGTTGGTATGGCTGGATGGCTGCAGCGCGAGCGACAGCGCGTCGCGGTCAGCAAACTCCGCGAGGTCGCGCCAGGTCGCGCCGGAACTGACCTGACTGTGCGTCTGTTCCGCGGGAGTCCCTCCACATACTGCTGGCAGCTCCGACTCCGCGCCTTTCCTCTTGACGCCAACAAAAGGTTGCGACGCCATCCCGTCGTTGTCAACTCTCAACGGCACACCCATGCTAGGTGTCGCACCCGGTCTTCCCCGAAAATCACTCCTCCGACCATGTTATGCTGGCCAGGTTGAGTTTGACTTGCTCACGCACACGGTATGGAGTCTAACCCTTTCCTTTGAGCAACATTTCCAAGTCCTTCACTGTTGTTTTGCTTGTGTCCTCCTCCACGTTTCCAGATGTACTTGGCCTTCGTTGTGGAAATCTCGTCATGGCTTCTCGGCAAAGCTCCTGCCATCACAAGCCAGTCTGATAGCGCCCGCCTTTCACCAGAGAGCTGTCCTCCGGCTTCTCAAGCGTTCCAAATATCAGCCTAAACCCTAAACCCTAAATCCGAAACCTCTCCGCCAGCGAAAGGTGTATTCGTAGGACATGGCAGAAGCATGTAAAATTCTGCACACGCCAAGACCGTTCCTCGACAGCTTGGCTGCTTTGTTCCGTAGGAACAACTGGCTCGACGTGAAGAAGCCGTGTCAAAAGAACAGAATTTTGCAGCCTGCAGTAGTTTTAGGATTTCGCAGCCACAAGGCTGGCAGCATTTTAAAAAAGTACCGTCCTTGCATTGGTAATTGGATGGCAATATGTGCAGGTGCCATCACGCCACGCAACATCTGATGTTCTGCGGATGTCAAGGAGAGAACAACAAAGTGCGAGACCCTGTTGAAATTTCAGTGCTTCCGGAGGGCATATGTACACTTGGAAGGCTGTTCCCCGGCGGAGCCCGTCTTGACATTTTATGCCCCGCCCCAGGTATAATGATGACGTCTGTGTTGCGACGTTTTGAAGGACCGCGCGCGCGGGGGCGGCGAGGGCTCCGCGGCTGGCGACAGACGAGGCCTCAGTGGAGTCAGCAGTCAGCGGTAAGATCGTTGAGGAGGGGTGTCGACGCTGTTAGGCTGTTAGGTGGAGCGAAACGAAGGCGGAGTCGCAGGCTTCACGGGACAGAGGGGCAGCACAGCACAGGCCTGATCTTAGATTCTCCGAATGATAGGCTTGGTCAAAGCGGCACGTTGCGCTCAGAAGTCAGAAGTGTGCTGCGCCGAGCGCCGAGGACCAGGCTGACAACTAACAAACCGTTGGAATCAAGACCGCCGCAGAAAGGAACATGTCACGACTGTCGCCACCTTTTCTTTTCCAGACCAAAGCGCCACTGCAGCCATGGCAAGCGTCAGCAACCCAAGTTGCTGCCGCCGTCGTTGTGCCATGGGGTTTAGGGTTTAGGGTTTAGGGTTTAGGGTTTAGGGTTCAGGGTTCAGGGTGGAACTTGGAACAAGGAGCAACGCAAAGCTGGCTGCCATGCGTGTGGCGCAGGTTCGCGCCGTGAAACAATGTCTTGCCATGGGGCCTCCCTGATTAATTAATAGGGGCACATGACCGCCGAGTACCATGAACATGAAGGTATCGGCTCCTCCTGACACGTCATTAGGTGACTGAAATCGCACGTGCCGTTTCTGTACAGCTCGGAGTCGACCCAGTCGGAGACTCGATCTAGCCAGAATCTCTTGTTTCCTGTATTGGGCAGGGCCAAGTGGCAGCACTGATTGCTCACAACGCAGTCCCTCTTCTGGAGTGCTAGCTCGCACACACCTGAGCTGCCAAGTAAGGAGATGTAAGGAGATGCTCGGGCCGTTCTGCGGCCGCAGGGCTTCATCAACATTCCGGTTGGAGCATGTCATTGCAGTTGAGGGTTCAGGGTCCCAGTGCAGATATCCCAACAAAGCGTATGAACACGCAACCATTCGGCAAGCTGCACGTAAGCTTAGAATTTGGGCGGCGAGATTGAGAGTTTGTCGTCGCTTCTTAGGTGACGGGCTCGGAGGCTTGCAACAATATAGTCTCCAGGGCATACCACGGTCCCGTGTTGCACCTGGAGACAGGGAGCCAAATCCTTTGACTCCGCAACACACCCCATGGCCAACCGCTGCACTAAAACACAACTCTAAACCCACTACCCTGAGTGCTGCTGCCCAAGCCCGACCAACGCAGCTGTTGCTCACGATCACCGGGGGTCCCGGCTTGCGTTTGGGATTAAAGTCCTAGGGCCTACAGGTTTAGAGTTGCTCAGATTTCTCAGGCAAGGACCCAAGTTGTCAGCCGTTGCATTGTCCAAGCAGGCGTGCATCGCCGCCTCATCACCTGTGGCTGTCATAGGGCATGGATTCCTTGCCTTGGAGCTGGGATTTTGGCGTATGTCCTATGTTATCAACATGCTGGATAGCCTTTGTGTGGGGACTGTGGCCTCTGAGACATGTTCCTGTTCCGGTCAGGGGATGGGACGTGATTCATCACTGCATCCCAGCTGCAGGATCCACCACTTGACAGGAGGCATCCTTGAAGGAGTCCACTGATCACCCCAAGCAGTGCGATCACGGCACACTGAAACATGCTGCAAAGGCCAAAGCGCTCTACAAGGGCCTATGCTGCTATACACCTTGGGCAAGTTGCGGATCTGCGGTCAGGCAAAAATCGGCAAAACTCTCCGCCACAACAATCAGGGCTGTTGCTTTGCGCGGTGTGGATTTTGCCCATAAATCTGCTCATGCTCTAAAGGTTACGGCAAATTGTGCGCTTTCTGTTTGATCTGAGATTGTGGGAGCTTTTGGGCTTGGTTTAACATGGTCTCACAAACTAGCTGACTAGCTGTCAAGGTGTCAGATGCAGATGAAGCTTCCAGATAGCTTGGAGAAGGCGATTGAAGGCATCGGTCATTTTTTCCAAGGCTTGCCTCACATGTGGCTGCCCCATTCAGGGTGATGGCCTCAGCACCAGCACCAAGGAAGCTGCTGCTGAGCTAGAATCACATCAGGGCTCATACACCAGCGCATCTCCAGGGGCTTCGAGGGTTTACATGACTGTGCTGTACACTGGGCACTCCTGCTGGCCATGGGGCGGTAGTCCGCATCCGCACCATAAGAGGCCTGGAGACATTCTTGAAATTGAAGGGGGACTACCTGTCCATTGCGGATGTCTGAAGATCCTTGCGCCACTTCCAGAATAAAACCGCACTAGACCGCAATGAGCCCCTGGCAGAATGAAATGCATTGCTTACCGGGCACGACAAATGCGATTACGAAGGATGCGACTCTATACGAATAAACCGCAATGTTCTGCCTGAAATTTCCAGCACTTTCCATAACACCTCCTTGAAAACCTCCAGTGGCCTACAACGTGAAGGCGGCTGGCTGAGCTCTCAAGAAAAAAGGGGCCGGGGGCCTGCCCCAGACAACATTACACATCAGGGGCCGGAAATTCTCCGAGTCTCAAATCAGCACCGAGCGGCATGATGCATCTGGGCCCCCATCTGGCCTGGAGCTTCTGATTGTGAGCAACAAATGCCACCGATTTCATGGACAGTAGCACGAGACTTTAACAGGCGCCTGAGCCATTCGAGCCAGCGCCCCACCTGCAATGGAGTGCCACTCCAAACACACGAGGCTGTTGGTAAGCGAATCGGGCCTTTCGTCCCACTCACCCTGTGGAGGCCACTGGCCCCAACCTGGACATTCCGAAACTGCAACTCTGGAATGTTCTGGAATCGACCATGTCAAAAGCAGCCTATTGTTGGCGCACTTGCGCGTTTGGTTGGCTCTTTGGTGTAATTAGTTCAATACAGTACTGGCAACATGGCAGGCACATGTTGTAGCGCACAGGAGAAGGCACCCTAGTCATAGACGTTGCCAGCTTCTCTTCCTAGACCCGTACTCAACCGTGCACCTGTCCCATACTGCAATCCAGAATCAGAAATTCGCCGGTCGTGCCTCCTTGCTGGTCACTGCCATATCCGTGCCACTGCTCCTGAGGTGGTCCGGGAAGGGAACGGAATGATGATGCTCGCCACCACCCAGTGCCCGATGCCAACCCGTGGACTGAAACCCTAAACCCTAAACCCTAAACCCAAAACCCTAAACCCAAAACCCTAAACCCTAACGTGTTTTGCACGACCTCGGAGCTGGACTTAACGAACTGATTCAGTACCACGCGGACTCAGAGTTTATGGGTTGGGGTGGAGCTCCTTCCAAGCCGTCATCTCAAAGCGCCCCCCCTTACTCTTGGCTTGGATCCCTCATGAAGCCCTAACCCCAAAAGTAGACCCCTCAAGTTTGTATGTGTATACACGGACACATATGGGAAAACATGCAGACTTTTGCCCACTCTCATAGGGTTTAGGGTTCCGGATATGACGGTAAAAGTGAAAGAAAAGACGGGGTGTTTCAGGCGGATGTAGCGCAGACTTGGCCTTTGACCTAGTTCTTTCCGTTACAATCTCATGATTTGAAAATGCTAACAACCGAGAGTTAATGGCAAAGCTGGGGTTTATGTTGTGTCTTGTCCTTCTGTCTTTCCTCTTTTCCTTTTGACAGGAAACACACGGAAGGCTCCTAATCTGTTAACTCCGGCATATTGCTGTAGAATAGACTAAGAATATACAAATTCGATCATCGGATACATGAGGTTGAACGTCTGATAAAAGCAGGAAACTCCGCAACAAGAGATTGAGAGAGAGATCAAGATCGAGAAACGATGCCATACAAAATGTATCAGCAGAGCTATGAACGAACAGAGCCCTTAAATATATAACAACTTCTGCATCATGTGACCGTTGGTGCTAAGGCTGCTAAGGCCAACGGTTCCGCGTCGACGAAGGCGGACTCCCTTTGCCCCGACCAGGTCCGACAGGGTATCACGCAGCCATAATCAAAATAGCCAAAACAAAAAATAATAATAACCATAACAATGATAACCATAATAATTAGCCATAATAGTAACCATAATGACAGTAGTAATAATAACCATAAGAATGAATTTGGGATTTTTAAAACAAATTATTTAGCTTCTATCCTCCGATGGAACCCTGCCACGCAAAGGGGTCTAGGGTTTAGGGTTTAGGGTTGAGGGTTTAGGGTTTAGGAGGGAGGGAGGTGCTTCCAGCAGAAGTCCTGGCTCGCTGCCGCGTGGCTCCAGGCATCCACTGACCCGCGCTTTCCTACAGTTCCGGTCTCTCTGCTTTTGGATTTTGGATGGTATCCTTTCGTCGACTTGCTGGACTTGGTCCGTCGCTGTTGGTTTAGGGCTCCGGTTTCAGGGCTTTGGGGAGCTGGTGAGGTTAGGGTCTGTGAACTTATGGTTGGCGGCCAGATCGGTGAACAATTAGCAATGCTGCGTTTTCAATTTTAACGGGGCCTGCGAGCAATCAGAAAAACACCATCATTTACAGCATTTGGGGCCTGCGAACTGTAATGTACAGCATTTGGAAAGCTCGAGCAATCAGAAATTCTGTAGCTTGCAGCGCTTGGGGCCTCTGAACAGTTACAAGACTCAAGCTCCCTGGTTTCCCCCCCTCGAGAGCCTAATAATATCTGATAATGTCCTCATTCTTCACCATTTTCTTTGTAGCGTTGAACCCAAAGAGCCTTTGCAACCAATGACAGAGCATTTCCTGCCAAGTGGCCCTTGCCATGTGACACGTCACTGCCGTTCCCTGCGCTGCCATACTCCTGGTGGCCTGACAGTCGGATTGCCTGCTACCTGATGTGACAACCATAAGTAGCCACACCAATGCACTTCACAGCGATGACTTGAGGAGGCAAGCCATGACTGCTCAAGACAGGGTGCAGTGCGGCAGCAACAAAAAAAGAAACGAGGAATCAAGTCAAAATTGGACCGGTGGACTTTTTTTGTTTCTGAGGAGGTGTGTCAGCCGTTCTCATTCTCAGCTCGTTGACTCGATCGGTGAGGATACTCGATCGTCTGCTTTTGAGGCCACGGTTGTATCTTGAATGCCCGCCTGCCTACCTGGGCTTTTTGCCCATGAACAAACGTCTTTTCCGCTGCGCAACATGTTGCGTAGCGGCTGCATTTCTTATGCTTCAGAAAGGGATGATGGACTTCGAGTCTATGCCTTGGGGCGCTCAAGCCTCAGACTTAGAACCTAGACGTTGGGTTGTCGACCTCAGCTTCGCAGATTAGAGGTGGGGGGCGCCGACGTATCTGGGGCTTCGATATCGTCTGTGCTCAACACTGAACCCTGAACACTGTGCTGCACCCTGCCTTGGTGGCCTTGGTGAACTCTGCCATAGTCGGCATAATCCACGGCCTCCAATCTTTGAGGGGGAATTGGGAAACTCGCGGCTCTCAGCTGGTTTGTGCTCGGGGTTACAGGGTATGCCCAGGAGCTGGTAGGCTATGGGGTGTCCGAACTACAAAGGCCTAAAGCTACATGAGACAGGGTTCGGGCCTGATGAGGACCCTGATGGAAAACAGCACCACTAGCAGCGCTGTTGCCATAGTCCCAGCTTTCTTGAGGCCAACTCTCATCACCGTGTCCTGTCGTGGTGCTGGCAGGCAGGCTTAGACTCCAACAGTCAACCCAAGCCCTTTAAGAGGGGTTCACCAGGGTTCACCCAGCTAAATTCTTATTCCTTCTCAGGCCTGTCATAGCGGGAGAGCAGGGGCCTTTCCCGCCGTGGCACGGCTGAGGTCCCCAGTCAGCACCTCCGAGGGTAGTGTAAAGAACGTGCCGAGACAATGAGCACTCATTGACTCGTTGAGCTGGGTGTGGCACCTTTGGCCACACCCCACTGCTGTGCATCCCCTTGCCAAGCAGAGGCATCGTGCCAACCTGCCAGAAAGGCTCTCTCCACCGCAAGTGAGGCAGTCATGACATGTAAACCCTGAACTCTAAACCCCTGTAGACCGTTTACGCCGAAACCTCAACCCCTCTTAACCCCCAAGAACACCTCCAACAGCTCCCCGAAAAAGAGCCAAGCCGCCGCGCCTGCATCACAGGCCCCTTTGCCTGGTGCCCAGGCACCGGGCTCCGGCGCCTCGAGCAGGCCGTGCACAGGGGGCTCCAACGTCACTTGTCAAGGATGCTCAGCCTGCTACTTGGGAACTTTCGAGGGATCTAGAGGAATCTAGAATCTAGGGGAATCTAGGGGGGGATTTGGGGAGTTTCAAGGGGCTCGGATTTCTGTGGACTTTCTACACAGACCGGAGAGCCTTGCCGCCAGCAGCTCCTTTGCCGGGCCCTGAGCTGTGCAAGGCTGTCAATGCTGTTCCCATTTCGGGTAGCCAGTTCTGAAGGGGACCCACTGTAAGTAGTTCAGGGAACCCTGCATGTACCGAGCCAGTCTATGGTCCGCACCCATGCCCGCCCAGCCAGGGGCACCCATCGGCACCTGGCGAATTACACCCTATTTTAAAGTCTCAAAAAAAAACAAAACCCTGAACCGCTTCCAGCCTGCCCTTGCATCGGTCTCACATGGGGCCTCCGGGCTCAGCAAGTATCCCTTCTGAGCAAATGACAGGGGCAGCCCCAAGGTCGCCGCATGGGCGCGTGTGGAACTCCCATTCCGAAGGCCGGCCCTGGCGGCCCTGAACCACAAATTCAGAGAAGGCGGAGCTGCATAGGCACAACGCAGACGGAGTCAGATTCGGCCTGCGGCAGCCTCGTGGCTAAGGAAAGTCACCTCGGAAGGCTTACAAGCAAAGCCTCCGCGCGAACTGACATCACAGCCTCCATGTGCTTTTGTTCCGACTCAAAACTTCAAGGCAGTTTGGCTCCTCAGGCGTTCCAAGCCCTTAACCCGAAATAAAACCTCCAAACCCGAAAACCCCAAAGCCCTGCATAACTCCGAGTATGAACCTTACACCTCAAGCTTCTCAGGCAAGGTGCCACCAGCTCCCGGGCACGGGCCACACACTCCGGAAATCCGACAATGACCACCTCGGCCACCGGCTTGACAAGGCATTAAGGGCATTAAGGGGCGTGTAGGGTTTGAATATTTGGGGGTTTACGAGAATAGGGCACCCCTAATGTAGACCCGTAGGATGCCAGTATAACAAGGACCTCAATAAGGTGAAGAGCAATGAGTTGGCTTGCAGTGTGAAGGGGTGCCTTGTTGCCCATTCCAGGAGTCGGCTCCTTCACCTGAGGCTGCGGGATTTGACTGGCTTGCAAAGGCTTTCTCTGCTTCTTCTGAAAAATAAGGGCTTGCGAGGGGGTTTTGGGTTTAGTGTTCTTCGCGTGCTCCGGGTTTAGGGCAGTAGGGTTCTGAGATTGTGAGTTTGAAGCGTTCGATCCTAAACGATCCTAAGCCCAAACAAACTATGGGGTTACTGTCAGCTCGCTCTACTGTGCCTAAGTGTTAAGGCTTCAGGTACTGCTTGCGATTCACCTGGTAGCGGATCTGTGGGCCCCATTGTCTAGGCTACAAGAAATTGGGCCATCATTTCGATCAAAATGATCAGCCCCTCCTTTGAGAGGTGCTAGGGCCTATTAGGGCTTAGGGCGCTGAGGCGTCCACAGCGAGGTAGGCGCCGCTCTGGTCCTTCATGTTGGAGATATTTTGGCCTTCGCTTTCAAGTTGAAACTCGTAGCTTCGGGTAGGAAACCCTGGAAGGGTCCAAAGGGTCCTGTTCTGCCTCCAACTTTGGCCCCAGGGGTTCTTAAACTGGCTCCCCAAACCCCAAGGGTACAAAATTCCAAGCTCTGCCCTCGCAAACCCAATTGAACCTAAACGCTTTAAGCGCCTAAGCCTCAAACAGAGCCACCCCCAACACCCTCAAAGGCCTTCAAAGCCCTCCTTTGCTGGGCGCCTCTTGGGCCAATGAGTCTGGCAATTTGCCTGGGCTCAATGTCCTGGCGACTCACGATGATGAATTTGGTGCTCTTCTTTTGAATGTTGCTGCTCTGGTACGAACGAATGTGGGGGAGTGGGGTTGCTTTCATCGGCAAGTGGCAAGGAGGAAAGCAGAAACCCTTCCATGCTAGCAACCTTCGCGCTGTTTTTTTTTATGGCTCCTAGCTTTGGCTTCCTCAACCCTCAGGGCTGAGGTTTTTAGGGTTTTGGGTATTTGGGGGAGTTTCAGCGGGGATGGCTGTAAGTCAGCATCCTGTTAACTTAAACTTGCGCTTTCGTCTTGTTATCGATCAACTTTACTTACCGTCGGTCCAAGATCTCGGTGACGTTGCCAATTGCCGCGAGGTCTCCCTCGACGATGCAGTTGACCTTGCACCATCTGTATGGCGCAGCATGCTACTTTTTGCGCGTTGCCACGTTTTGGACTTCTTGCCCCCTAAACCATCTAGCTTTACACATGTGAACCACCCACGAGCACAAGGGCCAAGCCAGTGCTTTGCACTTCTCGACCGCCGCCGGCGGGCCAACCTAGAGAATGTCTTGGTGGGCTTCTGCCGCTGAAAACTTAAAGCTTGAGGCGGCTTAAGCATGGATAAGTTGGCATTTGGACCTGCACTTGCTTCTAAAGTGTTTCCTGCATGGTCTCGGTGCAAAGTTGGCTTTCCTCGAGCTCAAGGTGCTTTGTCCTAGGGGGCCTTCGGTGCGAGGTTGTGACATTGTTTTCTTCGGTGTCCATTACCTTTCAGTGAGACCACTAGTACATTGAGGTCCGGGCAATTTCTACATTCGCCGGATCATTTCGGTCCAGGACACCAACTTTGGCAACGCCCGTCTGAGACTTGAGCGCTTTGATGTTCCTGCAAATGAAAGCGTGGAGCTGCGCGAGCAGTGGGAGCTGAGCAGCAGCACTAATGTCAGTGAACGAAGCCTCAACCCTAAACTACACCAACACCGGTCCTGCCCTGCACGCCCAGCAAGTCTTTGACCTCGGGATGCACCGCAGGCTTCGGGTTCGGGCTTGGAGCCACTTCACATCTCAATGTTTGAGATCGGGCTAGGCAGCCTGAGTTGTCGACTGCACAGGGATGGGATGGAGGAGCGTTGGAAGGAAGGGATCTTTCCCGGACCACGACAACCCTGCCTCACAAACCTGACCCTTTAGTTTTTCGTCCCTACGGTACTCTCTCTTAGATTTTATATGTGCAGATTTTGTAGGGTAGACAGCGTGGCAACAATTTGGAGAACTGCCCACATGTCGACCCAGGGTTTAGGGTGTGCAAGTCCCGCTAGGCCGCTGACTCTGCCAGCAGGGACTTGAACAAGAGCAGTGACATCGCCAGCTGCTTCCTCCCCTGATATGACTTGCGAGACATCTACCCCATGTGCGCGAGTGACTGCGGGGTTCGGCGTACGGAGGGTGCCTCCTTGCACCATCTGAGGCATCCCAGGTACCACGATGCCAGCCTGACGGAGGTGCCACGAGGTCGCGCGCAAGCCGTGAGCACTTCAAAAAAAGCCAGGGATGACCGGCTGCGCAGCCAGAAGCCTGGCATAAATGCTTGCAGAGAAGTAAAAGTTGAGGTGTTGACCCTAACCCCTAAACTCGAAAATCCAAGAAGTACTCCAGAATCCGATGTCCATCACATACGACTTCCCACAAATCTCCGCATGGCAGGACGAGGCAGCGATGTTGGCTCCAGCAGCCTGGGCCTGCATCAAGAACTTGACCCTTAAGACCTTTTTAGCCAAACATCCAAACATCGATGGCATAGTCGTGGCAGTTCGGGAGTTTGGGAATGTCTTGGGGCAGGCAAACGCAGGCCTGCATGAGGGCGGACAGCGTCTTTGGTGCTGTAGCCATGGGGACAATGGGGGCAGGGGCCGGCACGGGCGGCAAGGCCGCCGATGGTATGAGGGCGGGGACCACCGTCGGGCCAGCAACCGCCTCGACCTTGCACTTGTCAGCTCGATTTGGGCGCGTCCCGACATGTCCTAAAAACACGCAGTCGTGTTGTCAGCTTGAATGCTTGGATTCCCGACCGGTGGCTTGTCCCACAGCCTGGCACCGGCTACACACTGTCTTGCAAAGACAACACCTGGAACTCTGATCCCCCAAAGTCCAAGTAATTCTCAAAAAATGAAGAGGAAACACATAAGTAATTCTCAAAACATGAAGAGGAAACATATAAGTATATGATAGTATATGATATGAGGGCCTCTTCACCTCCTCCGCCGCTCGCTCCGCGGCCTCTCGCCGTGCAGCTTGGCGCTGCCGCTCCTAAAGCGACCGAGGAAATCGCTTCTGGTTTGAGATGTAAGGTGCGGTCAGGGGTCAACATGGGGCTTGCCTCCTCCTCCATCTGTTCCTCGAGCTCACGCCGCTCACGTTCCTCCTCAGGGAGATCTTCAAACCCTTCACCTAGAACTCACCTCAAATCCGGAGCCCGCCCCTGAGAGTGCGAACTGCGAACCTGCACCATCCCTCAAGCCCTGAACTGCCTAAACCTCTCCAAACCCCACACCTCCTGGAGGCGCCGCAGCCTCTCCCGTTCCTTGCGCTCGGCCTGTGTCTGAGGCTGTTGCATCGCGGTAAGGGCCCTAAGCACCCTTCCGACGAAAGAACCGATGAACCAGGAAGTCAAGGTTTGGAGCAGGTGGATGTCTTTATAGGGTCGAGGGCTGCTGCTTGAGGATGCTATAGAATAAGAGACAGGCAGCTGCTCCAAATCCTGACTTACTGGTTCGCTGGTTCATTCGGTTCTTGTTGGGAATTGGGAACTACGATTGTGCTTTGGTGCAGAACCGAGTTTCTTTTGAGATGGACAACGCTTATTTCAGTGGTTGCACGATTGCTCCGCCCGCTGCCTCGGAACAGTTTGTGGCAATGAGTCAGTAGGCATTTTGGGGGCTTCAGGGTCGGGGCAGGGTTAAAAAGCTACGGGCTTTTACCGCGCCTCTTCCCGAGCCTCCCGTTCACGCTTTTGGCGCTCACGCTCTTCCTGCTGCCTGGCATCAATCACTCAGCATGGACCCCCGAACTCTGAACGCAGCACTGGTCTGCTGATCTGCCCCTACTGGAGGTCCGGCGTGCGTTTTTACCGCGAACAAGCAAGCCCGTGCCAGCAAAAGGTAAAGGCATACAAAACCAATTACCAAGAACATCCCGAGCGGGTCCACCCACCATCAGGCCCCAACGCGGGCTGAATCGCACTCACCAAGCTTGATCTTGGCGTTCTGCGCGGCCACATCGTCACATCGTATGACGAACTTCCCTTCGACGCTCCAATGGTGCGTTCACCTGCTTGGGGTGTTTGGGGTTTACGGGGTTCAAGGGTTTGGAGAAGTTTATAGGATTTAGGTGTCAAACGTTGGGGCTTGCAGAAGTCAAAGTTGAAGTCTGGAGTAGGACACATGAAGTTGGGGTTTACGAAGATAGGGGTACCTTTTTGGGGTCCCGATTATATGGGAATTCTACTAGTTGGGGATCTACATTGGGGGTCTCCCATTTTCGTAACCCTGCAAGTGTCTCTACGCTTCCATTCGGGGGACATGCGGGGACTCCACACTTGACAAGTTCACATCAGGTCACACAGCTGGGATGTCTACGAGCGTCTCCACTTAAGGGGTTTACGATATTAGGGGTATCTAAATGGGGTCCTCATTATTCTACAGGGATCCTACTATTTCGGGATTTTATTGGGGGTCCCTTATTTTCGTAAACCCCCACTTATCAAAAAACTCAAGTTGAAATGCTTCCGCGCCTTCACATTTGCTGGGGCGCACACCATAGGCAGCACATCATTCACGTTGGAAACTTCAACTTGCCAGCACCCAGCATGGAACGGGCCTCCGCCTTATGTCCAGTTTTGGCCTGGATAAAAAAACCATGGGCGCATGAAGAAATGTTGATTATAGTTCTGTAACTATATTTTCACCTAGGCGTTGTCGTTACATCGCATGTGAGATGCTATTTCCATTTAATACTCTCGTCATATAGGACCAAACCAAGATTTTTCATTTTGCCAGTTCACGAAATCATTCATATCGGAGTTAGGCCATCATCGGCCCTCTCTTCTTTGTCAGCATTCGTCTCGAGCAGCTACGTAATTTCAACATCGCCCCTGCTCGAGGCCACTGACATTGGAGTCGTGCCGTACCTGTTGGCCTTATCCTTGTCGGCCTTGGCCTCCAGAAGCAGTTGGGCCATGTCCAAGCGATTCCACCTCGAGGCCTCGAGTATCGGAGTTGTGCCGTACATGTTTGCCCTGTCCTTGTCAGCATTGGCCTCCAACAACAGCCGAAAGATTCCCAGGTGGCCATGAGCGCAAGCCTCTAGCAGCGGAGTTTGGCCGCCATCGTCAGCCTTGTCCTTGTCAGCGTTGGCCTCTAGCAACAGCCGAACAGCTTCCAAGCGGCCATTCCTAGAGGCCTCTAACATCGGGGTTGCGCCGGTGTTGTCGCTCTTGTCCACGTCAACGCCAGCCTTCTCCTTGTCCGCACGGGCCTCGAGCAGAAGCCGAACAGCAGGTGGCCCCCTCTGGCGGCGTGTAACATCGGAGTTTCGCTGCTCTTGCCACATCGGGATCAGCCCTGGCTTCGAGCAGCAGCCGAACAACCTCCAAGTGCTCGCCATGGCCGTGAACATCGGAGTTTCTCCGTTCCTTCCTGCAATCAGATCCTTGTCAGCACTGGCCTCTAGCAGCAAACGTACTGCTTCAGTGTAGCCGCGCGCACATGCCCCATACAAAGGAGTGTTCGATCCAGAAGGTGTCAAATCTGGATCCTGTGGTCTTTGCAAGATTTGCTCCAGAAGGGGGATGTTGTTCTTGCATGCAGCCTGCTGGAGCTCAGAGACGTCGTTTTGAGAGCTCCGTTTGAACGGCTGCAGGATGAGCTGGACATCCGTCGGCTCAGCCAGCAAGTCATCGTCTGACAACGTCTGGCCATCGAGAAGCAGCAGACTTAGCTTGAAGCGTGGTCGTTTGCAGAGACATGCCAGATGGCGCTTGAGATCCAGTTCTCGGACCGGCTGTTCGAATTGGATTGGATTGCGTGCGCTTCCTCGCCGGAAACCTTGAACACTCGCAGCATAATACTGGTCAATATGGCTCAAGATTTCGAGGCCAAAATGGAGACGGACCCCAGCCCCCTACCACCTCAAGGAGCCCTTGTTCCGGCAGTCAAGGATCCTTGCTTCCACGGGGTGGGGTCTAGGGTTTGGGGTTTTAGGTTCAGAAGCTTCCGGGCCCGGATCTTATAAGGTTTGCCGAAAATACATCTGCCTTTTTTCTGTGGTTCCTATCTTAAGGAATACAGTGTTGCTTTTGGGAAATGCCCACATCCCAACCCCGACTAAACCCGACCATCGTTGGAAAGCTCCAGGCACTTTCGGCCAAGGGTGGTTTAGGACCCTAAACCCTGAGGGGACAGGGTTTAGGGCTTAGGGCTTCCAAAACCCAAAACCCTTCTCCTGCAACGTTACACGGGCAGGGAGTTTTAGTACAAGAGTTTAGGATTGCTAGGGCTTTGAGGCCTTCTTAAGGTTGTTTTGTTGCCATTGTGTTAAGGCTGTTGTTAATTTCTCCATTGTTGTTCATCTTATAAAGGGTTTCAGATCCCGCTTGCAACTTAAGCAATATCCCGCAAGCCAAGGGTAAAGAACCATGGGTTGATTGCTACCCAAAGCTCTGGGTTTAGGGTTTAGGGTTTAGGGTTTAGGGTTTAGGGTTTAGGGTTTAGGGTTTAGGGTTTAGGGTTTAGGGTTTAGGGTTTAGGGTTTAGGGTCTAGTTTAGAGTTTAGGAAAGGTGTGGGGTTAAGTTTTGTTTAGAGTGTAGGGTTGGCTGGCGGCATTAGTAGGTGAAGGCCCAGGGAAAACCGCTTGTGCAGTGCGTTTGGGAAAGAACCCTGGACCTCACAAACACCGGCCACCCGCCCTTCGAGACATGCCCCAAAGCAAGCCCATACTTTAAACCCTAAACCAACCACGATTCGACCCGCAACCGCAATTGCTTGTGCAAAGTCAGCCCCAGCTACAGCATTGCCTCTCGCAAGTTCTTACAGTCAACCTGCGGGCTCCAATCTTCCTCCGTTGTTAACATATTCTTTGTTTACCAATACCCCTTTGTCACGGAATATTCCTTATGTGGTTGAACTAGTAGGGCTTAGAGTTGAGGGGCTCCAATATCCCTTTGTTAAGGAAGATGTGGTCTGCTGCATGATCTGAGCGGCGCACGCGATCCATGCAAGAAACAAGCCCGGCTCATGGGAATGTGGTTGAGGGCTTAGAGGTCAAAACCTCCAATGTCCGTTAGTTGAGCCACTTTCTGCAGTAGACGCATCCGTGACCCAGCGGCTACCGTGTAAACTCCTCAATGGCGACCGCCCAATCTCGATATGTCACAGCTGATCACTTTTGACGTCTCTTGATGCTTACGCTGATCGCGATGGCTGCTCGATGGCTACTCCCCAGCCCGCAGTGCCAGCGCCGCAGCAAAGAGGTCCGTAAACAGGACCTTGCTCTTTGCATAAATACCTGGGACAGAGGACTCTCGAGGCCCGTTGATGTTGAGTACCACGATGTTGTGTTCCTGGAGCCACGCCATGAATGCCTCTCGGGCAGTGGGAATGTCCGTGGCATCGCGTAGCGTGAGCACCAGCAACGGCTTCCCAAGCGCCTCAGCGGCTTCCACTCCCAGGTTCGTCCCGTCGGTGACAGCTTGCGGCAGAATGGTCACGGTGCCTTGCCGGGAAAAGTTTAGGTGGGTGGCGTTGCTACACATGAAGGGCCATGAAGCTGTTACACAAATGTTACACACTCTTCATCGTACCAGCTGCAGCAACACCACGAACAATAGCAACCGGTGTTGGCTACAGTGCTCTTAAAAAACATAGCTGAACTGTTGCTGTCATGCTGCTGTAGCTTTTCTGTTACCAACATTTGCTGTTCGTACTCTTCTGACTCGGATTGCAACGTGTGCAGGGTTGTCAGCTTCAGCGGCTGTGAAACGCGCGTTCAACCTATTGCTGGGGAAAGCTGGGCCTCCTAAACCTTCAGCCTGTGTGAATCCTGCAAACCCCTAGACCCTACTAGTAGAGGCCTGAATCCTAAACATCCCCTAAACCATCCCAAGCACAGTCTGCATCGCCGGGCCTGAGCTTTGAAGAGCGTTCATCAGGGTGCGCCGGGCGAACTTATCACCGGGATCGAAGCGGAGGCCCAAGTCCTCCAAGAGACCTGGAGCTGTAGGGTATTGTAGGGTACCAAATTGAACCCTAAAGCCCCGAAGAACCCCAGAAAATCCAGCCAAAACCGCAAGCTGCCTATAAACCCTATCAGGGGAAAGATCTCGCCTCTCAACCTCAGAAATCCCTGTAAGCATGCCAGGCCTCGGTGTGCTCTCCACACTTCCTGCGTCAAGGGTACAAGCTGCCACTCCTGGGGCCAACATGGTCCCTAACATCGGGGGGGTGGGGGGGGGGGGGGGGGGGGGGGGTGGGGGTTTGGGGTTTGGGGTTTAGGGTTTAGGGTTTGGGGTTTGGGGTTTGGGTTTTGGGGTTTCGGGCTCAGGGATGTTTAGGGTACCTTAGTACTTGTACGCCTCTTGTGAATGTCGGCTTGAGGTGTTTAGCATTGTCTCGGGCTTCTTGGGGCTTCGGGTTTCCCGAGTGTTTTTTCGGGCTTTGGGAAGGTTCAGGTTTGCTTCAAGCGTAGCGAAAAAGCTTCGCAGGCTTCCACTTCCCTCCGTTCAGAAGCCTCCATGAGCGCCAGAACCGACAGAAACTCGGAAATTGAGAAAGGCTCGAAAGACCCAGATCAGCAAAACCCTAAGCCCTAAACCCTAATCCCTAAAACCTAAACCCTAAACAATTAAAGCCCTAAACTGCAACACTCTGAAAGTTTGAAACCTCAGCCCAGTCTCTGTGAGATATAGGATGGGCCCGCTCTCATCCGAGCCATCTTCCGGGCAAAAGCCTCCTTCAGGAGCAAGACGCAGGCTTGGGGTTTAGGGTTTGGGGTTTAGGGCTTTGGGCTGAGGGCTTAGGGCTTAGAGAAGTTTAGGGTTCAGGGCTTAGGGGTTGGGGTTTAGGGTTTATGGCTTATTGGATTGAAGGTTTACGGTTATGAATTTAAGGGTTCTTGTCTAGCATAGACGGGTGAGGGCTTATGCAGGCGCATGCTTAAACCGAGCACAACATGTTTTTATTCGCTCATTTTTAGGGGTCATTCCGTGAAGATCATAAGCTTATTCACATCCAGTACTTACCAGGAAACAGCCATAAATTCCCTGTGAGTGAAATTTACGTGAACAACCTGATTGAACAAGACCTTCATGGAATATCCTTTTATTAATAAGGGTCCTTGTTCACCTGTCACACCCTTCATGCGGTACCTTAATTGACCCTAATGATATGTATATATGTATATATATATATATACACATATACATATCCTAGGTCCTAGATTTAGAGGTTTTGATCGGCGGGGCGCTCGAGAAGGCGCAACGTCCGTGTTTGTGATGACCTTGAAGATGGTTCAAGGAACGCACAACTTGCGTTGCACTGTGCGACCAACATCCTAAAGAATGGCCTCCAACTCCATCTCAAACTGCACTCTGACGCAACAGAATGACGAGTCCGGCCGGGCACTCTTCTCTCCACCCGAACTGGTGCCACATAGCACCCCAATTGGCTGGCAAGGCTTGCTACGCGTACGGTGTCAGCATGTGGCCCACCATGGCCCTCAGCAGGCTGATCAACCTCCAGTTTCAGAGGCATGGACACCAATGTGCCCCTGCAGCGATCGGGGCCACGCAAGGGCGCGAGTTGGCGGACGGATGCGAATGGGACGTCTGTCGCCCTCCGCATTCTCGTGAACCCAGCTCAAGGGTCCGGTAAAGCCACGGACATCAATGTTTTCCCTCCAGCGTCCAGCAGGGGCGTAGTCCCGAGCATGAGTGTGCCCACATCCCCTTTCCATTTAGGGATTTGGGTTGCAGCCCTGAATACTTTTGAAAACCTTTACATACACTAAATGTACACCCGTAAACCTGAAACCTAACCCCTAAAACCCTAGTTTCCCTAGTTTCCATAACACCACCCCCCCCCCCCCCCCCCCCCTCCGATGCAATTCTCGGGTCCCCCGGGATTCCTGTCTCCAGACCCAGCTGCCTCGCAGCTTCCAGGGCTGCGTGGTCCACACCCGTTTGGCCACCGGCGACGACTTTTAACGTAGGCATCCTTATGGGGAGAAGGTTCTTCTTCGCGAATTGTTGGGTTTTTGGGGAAAGTACGGTTTTTCGTCGTGCTTGTTCTAGCGGGCCTGTTCGCTAGGCATGTTGGGGGGTTTGAACCCCAAAACCCAAAAACCCCAAACTGGCACCTCGTGGCATGGCACCTTTTTCCAAACCCGAAACCCCTCGATAAGGCAAGCAGGAGTCCCACTGCCGCCACGCATGGCTCGGCCCGCGCAACTTCCGCCATTCCGAGCCAGCGAAGGGCGCTGACTGACTTCTCGGAGTTTTAGGGTCCAGGGTGGAGCCTAAGCCCCTCAACCCCAAAGCAAGGCTTGGGCCCCCAATGGCAAGACAAGGCAACAGGAGCTGATGCATCATGCCCGAGTCGACGTAGAGCATTGCCGGACGCAAGTTCAGGAAAGTAAGTTGAAGGGTATGCAACACTCCCCCCCTTTTATATGGGATTTCCGAAAATAGGGGACCCTAAAATGTACCCCAAATAGTAGGATTCCCTTATAACTCTCATAATAAGGACCTTGAATAAGGTACCCCCAATTTCAGAAACCACCATCTTCTGCTGCCAGGAACCATTCAGGGAGACTCAGAGCCAAACCCAGAACCCATGATCCGACTGTAGACTGTAAACTCTAAGCCCCACACCCTGTTGATCGCTCTTGCGGGGAGGATTTGATCTCTGACGCGGACTGTTTTAAGATTTAGATTCTCATGACCGCTCAGGGTGCGGTCGCTGATCTCGCTGCATATGGGTGGCTGAACTCAAGTGCTGTCGGACCCTCCGAGATCTCTGCGTACGTATCCTCGAACCTATTCCCAATAGCGCTTGTCGCATCAAAATGGCCCCACAATCTAGATCAAGAGAGATCAAGACTCCAAATCAGGGCAAGAGATAACGAGCCGGCAGTGCTCTTCCTCCTCCATCTTGGCCTGGCACAGAAATCTCTGGACATGCAGAAGCTCATGCAACCACCACCATTCTGAATTTCCCTGTAGGGTTTGTGGGGTCGCTGCAGTCCCCCCACATGCCCTCAGAGCGCAAAGTAGGCTCTCTAATCTTGCGACTGCCGTTACAAAGAAGCAGTCTTCTGTACAGGATCTGCAGACGCCTTCCACTCCTCCATCTCCTCCATGGTTACCTCCGCCGCCTCCGACTCCTCATCCTCATCTGACTCCTCCTGTTCATCAGGGTACATCGATGGACGCTGATTTCAACTCGCGGTGCTCCAGCGCCCCAAGCACACATTCTAGCTTTCTGGCCCTGAACCATGCACGCAGCCGCAGACCATCACAAAGCCCAGCAACACCAAACCTAAACTTTGAGGGATGATACACCTCAGGTGACGAGCAACAAACGTCGAAACGCGAGGGAACCATCAGTTAGCAACTGCCAAGGCCTGCCACTTCTTCCGCTTCTTGCTGCCGGCACCATCCTCCGGAAACAACTTAGGAGCGTCCCGGTATGGAGGTTCTTGGACGGGGAGCTCTAGCACCCCTTAAAAGCCTTTAAGCTTGAAAGCCCTGGCCCCGAAACCCTGGTGCTGAAGGCCTTCTGGTCTTCTCTCTTCCGGCCAAGCATGGCCTTGGATCAGGCAGACTTCATCATCACAGCCTCTCAGCGTCTCTTAGCGCCGCAAACACTCTTGAGCCGAGTTGCACCTGAGCATGGCGTGGGCTGTCTTCCCTAAGAGAAGCGTCAGCCCTGCATGCTGGAGGGGCCAAGGGTCGCAGCTTAAAGCACAAAGCAATGATCGGTCAGGTAGTCACGGTTGTGATGTTTTGGGAGAGTTGCACCGGGCAGTGGGATGCACGAACGGACTCGAAGGGCTGTTGGGCTGTGGTGGAGGTCGGTCAAGGCCCTAATCGGGCCGTGTTGGGTGTGGGCCACAGCTGCTGGCCGGGCGTCCCACGTTCTGGTATTCTGTAGGCGCTGTGGGCCAAAAGGGCCACAGATACACCGTACATGCCATACATGCCCTCTCGTCTTGCCGGGCTCAGATTCATCTTCTGTCCCGATGCCGCGCAGCCTGTTCGAAGAACTTTTTGTTGCTGCGCATGTGTCACAAGTCGCCAGGGCATCTGCTCGTCAGCAGTGCAGGCACACGGGCAGTCACTCTTCAGATCTTGCTTGCGCGTCCACATCTTCCAGCGCTTTTTTTGGAATGTCTTGATCCTGCAGCT